GTCCAGGGACAACATATTTTCTGGTCCCTAGTAAAGGAAGCTCGTATTTGGTCCCTGGAGGAGGTTGGGGATGGGGGTGACTTTCTGGATTTTCCCTATTTCAGGTGTGCTATGTACCCGCACTGCAATTTATAAGGAAACACTGCAGAAATCGGTAGCAAGTTGGGACAATTTAGGGGGGGGGGGAGGTGGGAGGTGTTGGAAATAGTCTAATTGTAAGAAGAATAGGAGGGAAGTTGGGTGTACCAGAGCGTCGTATCTGGCGAAACTTTTCTCCGCTGGAATAGCGGCGAAAGGCACAGTTCGGCAACGGGGGGGGGGATTTTGCACTTTTGCTACTTCCCATCGACGTGTCGACCCATCTAGACAGCCTCTTCTCGAGTTGACAGGTTTTACCATGATGGCTTGACGAGCTTGCTCCAGCTTCACAAGAGTTCACAGGTTTCACCAGAGTGAGACTTGTAAACCGGAACTAGTGAAGCAACGAAAGTGCAAAATGCCCCCCGTCGACGAACAGCGCCGCGCCGAAATCCCCTCTATCCTCTATTTTTACCTCGATTTTCGTCCAAAATAGAGAAGCCGTTTGTCAAAACAAAACATGAGCGCAAAACATCTAATTCCGCTCGCGTGCAGGACATGGAAAGCAATATATGGTGGCTGTTTAATTCCGTGAGTGATCACGAATTAATTCATGGAAATAACTATGGAACGTTTGAAAACAAGTAGGGGGAAGACCCGGTCTGCAAAAAGGTACAACATCGCGATTAGTGTATTTGCGACGACAATAAGACTCTTCCTCGAGATCGACCTCCTCTCACAATAGACCAAACATTTTCCTGAAGTCCTTCAACTTCCAACCATTTCCCCGAAAATTTCACCCAGTTTTCTTTGGAAAGTATGTTGTCCACTGGGGAACGAACGAAGCGGGAAACTCAACACTTGAAAAAATTTATTTCTTAACTGTTCATGACCATCCCCCATCCCCCTCCCCACCACCAGCAACAAAATGCCATCTTCAGACGTGTTTTGCACAACGATGTCGTTCGGGA